GTCGCCATGAGTCGGAGTCGACTTGAAGGCAGTGGGTTTGGTTCTTTTTGGTTTACTATAGACTACCAAAACAAGAACAAATATCAGAGCTCAAGCACATGGTCTTTTTGTCATTGCAAAATTGCTCTGATGTCTGATAAAAATTACTTTATTAATGTTTAATTAGCATGGCATGTATCACTTGTCTTTTTAACAAACAAAAGTCCTGTGTTACACTAGTAAAATGGTATCATTCGAGTTATTAGATTTAATTGAGAGATTTAGCTTTTTCAGTAAGTATTTAAACTTATGAGAAATTGTCAGAAACCCATTACCTTTAACATTATGAGTAATAAATGATACACCTATGAAAAATTATTATATTTCTAAATAAATATAGAATTATGCCACCTTAAGCCAAGGATGAAAACATGTAATTTCTGGTTTAAAAATAAAACTCATATACAGATGTAGATATAGTTACACTTTACCAATGAGAAGACTATAATATCAACATACTACATAACCAAAAGAAAAAAATCAATCAAAGAACTTGGCTTATGATTAAGGTACCCAGCCAAGAGCATGGTACCTTTGCTTATGGTCAAGTGGTCTTGACTCTAAGCAGGCAGATATCAGCTATAAACATCCTTAACAAATAATAATAGAATTTATTATTTAGTAACAAACCTAATTCCTCAGATTATTATTAATCAATATTATATAATACCTTTAATTTGCAGCATTTAAAGATAACAACTACAAACATATAACTATTTGCTGCTGCTGCTACCACCACTTACCACTTAATAAACTCTAAGATATGCCAGATACATCCTAAGTACTTTATAAGTATTAATGTTTGATCCCCATAACAGCCTTGTGAGGTAAGTACTATTAATATCTTCATTTAAAATGGAGAAACTGAAGTAGTAAAAGTTTAAATACTTAATTAAGGTTACACAGCTAGTAAAGAGCAGAGCTGTGATTAAAACCCAGGCAGTCTGACTCCAGAGTCCATCTCTTAACTAATTCAAAGAAAAAATCCTGCCTCTATATCTTATTTTAACTATTATTAACCACTTCTTCTATATTTGCTTTCGTTATCCTTGAAGCTCCTATGTAATATTTCTTTCCTTATCGTGGTGTTAGAACCCTGCTTAGATGATTCCAGGTCTTCTGGCATTTTAGAGAGAATGTATAATAGAGCATTTGCCAGGAATCAGACTGCTTAGGCAGGATTTAGCTCCATCACTTACCAACTTTGTGACCTTAGGCAAGTTACTTACTTCTCAAACAGTTCCTTTATCTGCAAATGTGAAGAACAATAGTATCTGTGTCACTGTAAGAATTCAATAAGATTTGACCAACAAATATTTATTAAGCAAGTAATATTTGTTATATGCTGTTTTAGGCACCAGGGACGCACATGAAAAAGACTGACATTACATTCTAATAGGGTAGATAGATAATTTAACAAGCAACCAAATAATTTCAGATAATCGTACAGGCTATGAAGAAATGGGTCCCTGGGTGGCGCAAACAGTTTATGCTTAACTACTAACCTAAAGGTTGGCAGTTCAAACCCACCCAGTGGCATCATGAAAGAAAGGACTGTGATCTGCTTCCATACGGATTATAGCCAAAGAAACCCTATGGAGCAGTACTACTCTGTAATACATGGGGTTGTCATGGGTTAGAATCAACTCGATGGCAATGAGTTTAGTTTTTTATGAAGAAAATAAGGTACTGTGAAAGAAAATTAGTGAGAAAATATTGGCAAAGCTAAACACATAGGATACATTATTATAACATGGACAATTTAACATTAAAAGCTGAGATGACTTCTACTACAAGGCTTTCATAACTAAAATATAGACAAAATAAATGAAACAATAGTTTTAAGACACTGGACATCAGGAAAGAAAGAAAAGTGATCCCTGAGAGACAGGAAACTAGCGTGGTGGGTGCTATGATTGCCCCAGTTTATTGTCTTGACAGAGTTTCCAGTCTACGTCATTGGGAGGGGAACCCAGAGGACTCCCTGAGTTGGAGAGACACAGCTGAGAGTCCAGAGACCAAGGTAACTAGAGTTCACAGGGAAGAGTACCAGAATGGAGAGAGCTGCACAAACAACAAATTCTGGAGCTCTGCAGCGAGTTCCACTTAAGTATCCAGTAAAGTACTGATCAGAGCATGTCAGTGAGGAAACTACCCAAGACAGGAGGAAGAACCCCCTAAAATTATTACAGACATTCTCACAGGGCCTGGAACAGTGCCTGTTCTCACCAGCCAGACTGGAAAACCACATAATTTATGAGACATTAGGTACAGGACTGAAAAGAACCTCGTCTCAATTGTGGTAGTCCAAAACTAAACCCTGGTCTGGTCCCACCTAACTTTTCTTAAAAGCAAGACCCAAAAGGTTCAAACTGATTCCAAGTAACAAAACTGCATCCCATAACAAAACTCAAGAGTATTTATAAAAATACAATAATATTCAGCGCCCATCAAGGTAAAACTCACAACATCTGGAATCCATTAAAAAATTAGAAGAGAGGGGTCTTAAAAGCCTGTGAGCAGCCATCTAAGATACTCCACTGGCCTCACCCCTTCGGGAGCAAGGGAGAATGACGAGAACAGGATACAAGGAAAAGATTAGTCCAAAGGACTAATGGACCACAGCTTCCAAGGCCTCCACCAGACTGAGTCCAGTACAGCTAGATGGTGCTTGGCTACCACCACTGACTGCTCTGACCAGGATCACAACAGAGGGCTGTGGACAGAGCTGGAGAAGGATGTAGAACAAAATTCTAACTCACAAAAAAAAGACCAGATTTACTGGCCTAAAGGAGACTGGAGAAACCCCAAGAGTATGGCCCCCAGACACCCTTTTAGCTCAGTGGTGAAGTCACTTCCAAGGTTCACCGTTCAGCTGGGGAGTGGACAGCCACATAAAACCAAATGGGTCTAATGAGGCACAGCAGTCCAGGGACAAGGGCTAGAAGGTAGCAGGGGACAGGAAAGCTGGTGATAGGGAACCCAAGGTTGAGTAAGGGTAGTGTTGATGTATTGTGAGGTTGTTAACAATTTTCATAGGCCAACATGTGTACTGTTTAATGAGAAACTATTTTGTTCTGTAAACCTTCATGTAAAGTGAGAATAGCAGCACAACTGGAAGAGTGTAGTCAATGCCACTGAACTGCACATGTAGAAATTTTTGAAATGGTGTATCTTTTGCTATGTATATTTTCACCAAAAAAAAAAAAGGTCGAGAAGGGAGAGGGTTGACATGCCGTGGGGTTTTTAACCAGTGTCATAAAACAATATGTATACTACTGTTTCATGAGAAACTATTTGTTCCATAAACCTTCACCTGAAGTACAATTAAAAAAATAAAATAAAATAAAAAAATTACCAGAGATTATTCCATTTATAAGGAGCTGTGGTGGCACAGTGGTTAAGCGCTCGGCTGCTAACCAAAAGGTTGGTGGTTCAAACCCACCAGACATTCTGCAGAAGAAAGTTGTGGCAATCTGCTCCCATAAAGATTTCAGCCTTGGGAACCCTACAGGGTAGTTCTATTCTGTCCTATAAGGTCGCTACGAGTAGGAATTGACAGAAGTCGGTTCGGTTTTGGTATTCCATTTATAAGGACCCCTGGTGGCACAATGGTTAAGCACTCAGCTGCTCACCAAAAGGTCAGCAGTTTGAACCCACCAGCTACTCCATGGGAGAAAAGACCTAGTGATCTGCTCCCGTAAAGATTTACAGTCTAGGAAACCCTGTGGGGCAGTTCTACTCTTCTATAGGATCACTATAGGTTGGAATCGACTTGGCGGCACACAACATTCCATTTTTATAGCATTCTGGAATTGTAAACTAATCTATAGTGATTGAAAACAAATCTGCAATTGCCTGGGAGAGAAGAGGGGTGGGGGGCAGGGAGTCCACTGGACTATCCTGCACTTAGAATGGATCTTTTCCAGGCATGCTTTTGAATACCATGCACTGGTCATTTAGAAAAGATTTGGTTCACTGAATTTTACAAATCTTACAAATATTGACATATTTCATTTACAAAATGAAAACCTCACATTCACCACTGGTATCATCACCAATTTCATCAGAAAACTGCCAAGCTCAGTGACATATGCAAGGTTTGCAAAATTCTGATTTTTACTTGAAAGCTCAAATTCTATCAGGCTCACTTTGTTCATTTTTAAGAATTACCACAGTTAATCTGTCAGTCATTCTTTCAAGTAAAAATGATGTTCCATGAAAAAAAAAAAAAGGCTAATTCAGCTCATAACTCAAACTACTCACAAGTGCTTTTCCTCAAGACAACCACCCTACTTCTATACGCAAAAATGTTTTACGAGTACTTCTCATTTCTTCATACAGAATGTTAAAAATCTTAAGGGCTGAGATTCAGTAAAATTAGTAATTTATACTGCTTCATCAAGAACATTCTTGAGTGAAAGTGGCTTTTTTAAAAAAAACTGTGAGTTAATAATGGTGAAGAAAATAATGGCTCCCAATATAGGTTGGTGCCACTACTGTGATCCGTGCTAAGGCGCCAGGAAATATACCCATCATTGCTCTTGTACCATGGGTGCAAATGTCAAGATAGTAAAAAGGGCAAATAACACCTTAATACTATTATGAAAGTAGTTTTGGCCTCACAGACCTCCTGAAAAAATCTCAGGAAGCTCAAGAGCTTCCTGGACCATTCCTTGAGAACTGCTACCCTGAAGGATATAGAAAGAACTTCAGCCAAGTGGAGTTTACAAACACTAGAATATAGAACAGGAGAAGAATTTCCAGTTCTCTCTCTAGTCCAATTTTCTCATTTTATAAATAAGGAAGCTGAGGCACAGAGAGGACAGGGGATTTTACCACCTCACATAGCAGAAGCAGAGAGAGTTCTTTGTATTACTCTTTTCTTCCCCTTTTTTTTTCAAAAATGGGATTTACCAAATTCAGCTTTCTTTAAGCTGAACAATGGCATAAATACATACAGTTTTTGGGGAAAAGAAGTTTATATTTCCTGATGGAGAGTTCAGTTTTATGGGCTTTCCTGAAGCAACTTCTGCATCCAAATGGTGTACTTCCTTTTCAAAACAATGACGTTTTCTAATCTGTAAACACAGAAACAAAATGAAGTTTAACATAAACTAAAAAAGTATGAGCAGGCTAGTTGTTCTCAAAGGTCAAAATAGCTCTATGAATGTTTTCCGCATAAAATAAAAAAAAAAGGTGACTATTTCGAATCGGCAATAATCAAATACATTTTTAAAAACACAAATAAAACTCGCCGCCGTCGAGCCAATTCTGACTCATAGTGACCCTACAGGACAGAGTAAAACTGCCTCATAGAGTTTCCAAGGAGCGCCTGGTGAATTTGAACTGCTGACCTTTTGGTTAGCAGCTATAGCTCTTAACCACTATGCCACCAAGGTTCCCAAAAACACAAATAGGCACCTCATTATAACACTTAAATGAAATACAGAATACAGTAATACCTCAAATTGTAACCAAAATAGCTTTAATTAATGACATATCAAAATTATAGTTTTGTAAAATGATCTTTGCATAAAATACTTCCACCATATGGGCACTAAGTATAGGATTATAGCAGAGTCCAATTATATATCTAATTGGAAAATGAAAATCAAAATTTGAAGCCTCGTTCTACATTGAAAAGAACTGACAATAACTTTTTTAAACATAAATATTCATGACTTCCTACATGATAGAATAAATCACTTGATTACTATTATTACTATTGCTTACTAGATACCTGATAATTCAAGTTGTCTTTTGCCTAAATTTCTTTTGTAATAATACTATGCTTTCTTTCCAAACTGTCTCTATGTTTTTTCTACTTGCCAAAAATCTGTTTATTTAAGTTATAAGTTAAAAAAAAAACATTTCCAGTGATAATACCGAAGCCCTGGTGGTGCACTGGTTAAGAGCTCAGGTGCTAACCAAAAGGTCGGCAGGCAGTTTGAAACCACCATCCACTTCTAGGGGGCAGTTCTACTCTGTCCTATACGGTCGCTATGAGTCAGAATCGACTCGACAGCAACAGGTTTGGTTTTATTGGTAGTGACACACCATCCCTACCAAAAAAGAAACGAGAGAAAACAAAGTCAGAGAATAAAAGTTTCATGTCGGGCCCTGCCTCCCAAGATCCAATTCTATGTACACATTTTGGGGCGGGGGTGGAAATCTCTACAGATTCACACTTTGTTTGGAATTGACACTTTTTTAAAAATAAACTGGTGCATTCTAACAACAAGGTTTAATTATTAAAATTAATAAAGACTATGAATGAAATATCTAAACTACATAAGAATGCAAAATACCTTTGAGTACACTAAATTCCTTACAAATTATATGCTAATTAATAACCATCTTTTATACTTGTAACTGAGTCTATTAAAATCCTAGTTTCCTACGAATTCTATGAGAAACATAGTGTTCATCCATGAAAAGCATACTTCATTTAAAATACCTGGTAATTCAGGTCTTTTAACAATTTTTATAAATAATGTATCTTATCGCGTACTGGTACAACAAATCAATAAATAAGAGTAAATTTTGTCAATATACTAAAACCATCAATACAAAAAAATATCATGACATGAATATTCATGTCAAAGGTATTTTGGCCAATAGAAAATGACATTATTAGGTAAAAAGAACAGATGAGTTGAAAAGTACAAAGTGCCTACATTACCAATATATGTGCTTCGCCTTAAGTGAATATCTTACTGTCAAATTCCTAATATATAAGCAAGCACCATGCAGATTCACTTTAATGACACGTTCTTGTGAATAATCTGCTGTAATAACAAACTCATTTGTAACAAGTAACTGTATAAAATAAAGTTGCAACAAATTACCGTTTAATTATGGCTGTGACATGACCCAACTAATCTCCACAGGTGCCACTGAAAACCTGATCAATATCTGACTACCTTGTTCAGCTTACTAACTGGATTATTTCACTGCCAATAAACTCTGTTTACCTGCTGTGTCGTTTCTAAGAGGCGAATTCTTTTCTTGTCTACTTGAAAATCATCATTTTCATTTCTGCATACCGATGCCTGCTTTTTGGCTGATAACTTTGCAGCCAACGTGTTTTTTTCAGGAGAATCTTACATAAGAAGTCATAAAAAATTAGTATAAATAACTTAGGCAATTTTTCTAAAAGAAAATTGAAACCAAGAGGTAAAACTTATTTCTATAAATATCATAACATGGTTCAAAATATGAAAAGCTAAATGTTTAAAACCACTTCTTTTTATTTATTTTGGTTAATTGTTGTAGTTTAAATGAAGTTGACATTTCAAGTTAGTCTCCCATACAAAAATTTATACATACATTGTTATGTGACCCTAACTGCTCTCCCCATACTGTGACAACACACTCCTCCTTTCCACCCGATTCCCCATATCCATTCAACCAGCTCCTAACCCTCTCTGCCTTCCCATCTCACCTACGGACAAAGCTGCCCGTTTACTCTCTTGTATCTACTTGAGCTAAGAGGCACACTCCTCACAAGTATCACTTTATGCCCCACAGTCCACTCCACTCCCTGTCTGAAGAGTTGGCCTCGGACATTGTTTTAGCTCTACGATGATAGAGAATCTGGGGGCCATGCTTTCCAGGGTTCCTCCAGTCTCATTCACACCATTAAGTCTGGTCTTCTTACTAGAATTTGAGTTCTGCACCCCACCTTTCTCCTGCTCCATCAGGGACTCTCCGTTGTGTTCCCTGTCAGGGCAGTCATTGGTGGTAGCCGGGTACCATCTAGTTCTTCTGGTCTCAGGCTGATGAAGTCTCTGGTTTATGTGGCCCCTTCTGTCTCTTGGGCTAATACTTTCCTTGTGTCTTCGGTATTCCTCATTCTCCTTTACTCCAGGTGGTTAGGACCAACTGATGCATCTTAGATGGCCGCTTGCAAGCTTTTAAGACCTCAGACGCCACTCACCAAAGTAGGATGCAGAACATTTTCTTAATAAGCTTTGTTATGCCAGTTGACCTAGATGTCCCCTGAAAGCATGGTCCCCAGAT